TGGCTCTGCAGCAGGGACAGCAGCGCTGGGCATCCCCCAGGCAGGCACATGGAGCCTGGCCCAACGATGCTGTGGGGAGCACGTCCAGCACCCTGAAAGCTCCATACCTATTAAAGACACTCTGTTGGCCCTGCTGGGCTGCATGACTTGGTCATATTTGTCAGTAAGCCTGGGGTTAGGCCGGGGCAAACCCTGCCTGTGGCAGGTGTGGGGAGAAGTGCCCTGCTCTGCCGGATTGCTGTCCTGTAAGTGTTTGCTCTGCTGGCAATTTGCATAAGAAATTTTGGCGTTACGGTAGCTGAAAGGTTGAAATTGAGGATGGCAGAGTTGTTAGGAAGCTGCAACACGTTGCTTCAGCTACTTTGCTCTGGTGTAGGAGTAGAACTGAGCTCACAGGAGCTCCTGCTTGGCCTCATGCTCTGTGGCCAGATTTGGCTTTTCCTGCCTGACCCTCTCCCCACAAACATACAAACCCCACTGTTTTTCCAGCTGTGCCTTGCTGCCTGCATGGCTTTCCCTGCCTCACCTGCCTGATCTCACACCAGGGTACAAGGACAGGAGTCCAGGCAGCTGATCTGGGTTAACAGAGGCCAAACAGGGAGCACTAGGGTGACACTAAATCAGCTCTTGGGCAGGGCTTGGTGTTGCTTGGGCAGCTCTTGTGTTCCTTCCTCAGAGCCCATTTTCTGCATCTGTTTTCCATGTCGTTTATGAGCTCTTGAAATAAATACCTCAGCACGGGGATCCACTGACTGCCCCTGGGGGCTCAACAGAGGACCCCAGCCTGTGCCTCCCTGGGGATGGCAGGGATCTCCATGCCCCCTGGGCAGTCCTGGTGCTTGGCTGTTCCCTGCACTGGATGCCAGGGCTGCAGCTGGAGGAGTCCATCAGTCATCCCATGCACAGCACCCACCCTGTGCACAGCACCCACCCTGTGCACAGCACCCAGCTGTGAATGACACCCACACCGTTCAGGGCACCCGCACTGTGCACGGCACCATGCACAACTCTGCCACTTGGTGTCACCTGCCATAAAAAAGTCACAGCTGAGATGTTCCCAGCAGAGCTCAACCTGGGGAGCTCCAGGGGAGACAGAAGTGTGTGTGGTGTGGTTCAGAGACTCCATGGGAGTCCTGCCTTGGACCTTTAATTACATGGGGACACACAAGAAATTAAAGCCTTCAAGGAACGGATAAGAGCCATCACTGAGTCTTAATGCACCTTCTCCTCTATCTTCATTTTGCCCCAAATACACAATGGTGGGTGGTGGGAAGAGTGTGGGAAGGGCCCACCCCTACCCCAGGCACTGCTCTGTATAAAGGTGCCAGCAGGGCTCTGTGCTCAGTCCAGCACCTTGGGTCCCAACTTTCCAGCAGTGATGGGTGACCAAGCCCACGACTTCCTGTCCCACGCCCCCGTTCTTGCCTCTGCACTCCCACTCCTGCTCCTTTTCATCCCCCCAGCACCAGAACCACTCTGTGGGGCTTAACCCTTGCCATGTGCCTCTGTGCACGTTCCCCTGCTCCCAGCCAGTGGCTGGTCACTGAAGGAGTTGATCGTCCTCTCCATCATTTCACTCTGGGAATGGTTTTGGCACCCTGGTTGGGCACCCTGGTTTGGCACTTTGGGCAGAGCAGGGCCAGAATTGAGCCCTGTGCCCTGGAGGGCTCCTCCATCAGCACAGGCCACCCAAGCTGTCCTTGCAGAGCAGGTGCTCTGGGCAGCCTGTCCTGGTGCTGGCCCCAGGACCAGGCTGTGCTGTTCCATTTGGAGCCCAAAACCTCAGGAAGAGGCATCATGGAGGGGGAGCAGGACACCAGTGAATGCTGCCCTGGCTGGGAACAGGGATCTGGGCTCTTTTTGCAGGTATTGAGTCCCCCTGTTCCAGAGAAGGGACAGGGACAGGCCCATGCTCTACCAAGCACTGGTAGCATATGTGAAGGGACAGTGCTGGGGCCCAGGACCCCAACCTGCTATTGCAGTGGGGTGCAGCCAACGTATGGAGAACAGGAGTGAGACAAGGCAGAAGCAAAGGATGATGTCTGGACATGGCTCTGGCAGGGACATCTCCCCTGCCATGTGCCATCAGGGTGACAGCAAGGGGCTGGCAGAGGAGCTGAGATGGGTTTTTGGCCTCCTGGACTCTCTGAGCACAAAAGCTGGAAATGATTTTGCTTTTAATAGTGGTTTGGGTTATTTTTTCAATGATTTTTACACTTCTCATATGATTCCAGGTGGATGTAGGCAGTGGGCAATGCAGTCCCTGGGGAGTAAGAATGTTTTGGGACGGGGCTCCCTAAAAATTCAGGTCTCCATACAGCCCATAGCTGCAGGTGGGATGAGCTGGGCCTGCAGCTCCACGTGGCAGTAGATCGGTGCCCTTGCTCCAGGGCTGGGCAGGAGGATTCCTCTGAATTATTTCCAGATGGGGATTAATGCAGCAAACTGAGTTTGCTGCAGGATAGATAAACAAACCAAAGCTCCTCTGGAAGTTATTAATAAACCATCTGCCTGCTGCTTCTGCCCCAGATCTGGGAACATCCTGGTCCTGGCCTGGGGTGCAGCTGTGCCCTGCCCTGCTGCCCTTCCAGCCCCTTGGCCATGGGGCAGAGGTGACAGGGATTCCTCCAGGTCTGTGACCACCAGGGTCCAAACGGGACAGGGGGTGTGAGGGTGTGAGGGGGGGCTGTGGCCCTGCTACAGGCCCCTACTCCAGACTGTAAGTGGGATAAGTTGCTGCCAGCCATGTCTCCTGGTCTCCCCATCCCTGCTGAGCTCTGCCAGGGACAGTGGCACTGGGAAGTGACACCTCTCCTCTTCAACCTTCTGCTGCAGGGCTTCAGGCAGCTTTGAACTGGAGCAGGTGTAAACAGGGTGGGGGCAGACTTTGAGCCCTCTCAAACTGGCACTGCCGTGCCAGGGTGAGGGTAAACTGGTTTTGGGTGGCTACAGCCCAGCAAGCTCACCTTTCCCATGCATTGTCATCAGGGGGCTCCTGGGTGACCCTCCACGTGCACACAGACATGTGACCCTGTGGGGGAGGAGAAGAGTGGCCCATGGGACCCTCATCCCAGCCCTCCTCATTTTGACATGACTGGTGATGTCCTGCCAGGGGCAAACAGAGCCTGGACAAGGGCTGGGCTCACTGGGGCAGCCCATGTCTCCCTGCAGAGTTCCCCACTGAGGACCCCTGGGCATGGTGGGACAGCACAGAAGATGGGGTTAGACCTGTGGATGGTATGATTCTGTCCCACTCAGCCAGTTACAGGGGTCCTGGGCCCACACACCCCTCTGTACATGGCTGGTGAGGCAGCACACCCACGGGGGATGCCCCTGGAGAGGGTGGAGGCCAAAAGATGGATCTGGCTTTGCTTATTTTCAGCTCTCCAGCTTGCAGCACACACAAGCAGTTAATCCCAGGCTACGCAGAACTGGCTGCTTACCTGGCTGGAGCAGTGCCTGGCAGAGGGAGGGACGAGGGCACGGCTCCACACCTTGCCAGGGCAAGCATCACTGCAAAAATATTTGCTGAAAAAAGTTCAGCTCCACCCCGAGGAAAACCGGGTCCGGGAACAGAGCCTGATCCAGGTTTGCGGCCGGGCGAGCGGGGAACGCGTGTGGCTGCAGGAGCTGAGCGCGGCACTGCCGAGCAGCTCCAGCGGCACCGCCGCGCTCGGCCGAGGGACAGGGGGCTGGGCGGGCATCGCGCACTGGGGAACCTGTCCTTGGGTAACCGCAGGTCGGGGAGCCCTCTCTGCTCTCTG